CGGTCAACTGCAATCTCCCATTCATCCGTGTTTACGTTTACCTGACCCATTTCAACTTCATCTTGCTCTTCACTGAGTAATTGCAGATGGAAACGCGACTTTAATTTAACTATGCTTGTGACCTACCTCTCCTTATGTCTCTAAGTCTAGCTCTTTTGTATATAAAAAGGCATCTATGCGAGTGTCTATGAAATAATTTATATTAAGCCCGTCCTAAAATTCTCGTTTGCCTATGGAAAACTGTTGAAATAGGTGAAATTTGGATACTAGTTTACTGACTGAGACTGTGCCACATCATCCCAGTGCCAGAGATTGGATTTTTTAAAAAACACTGAATGAACACAGTGTGTGGAATCTGACGATACCTTGTGCCGACTTAGTGTTTTGCATTGTACGTCATTTGAATACCGTGCCTCTTACGTGCTTGTCTAATGGTTAGTAAATCACTAACCAACTCCAACCGAGGTGTTATCTAAATATAGCGATCGGTCTACAGTCGAGTAAAAAATTAATATTTAAAATGTGTCTACAAGAAGGACCAAGCTAAAATACGACTTAATTTTCTCGGCAGTGGCGGTTAACAATTCTCTGCACAGACTTCTTCAAAGGTTGAAAACCTCAGGTATAACAACATACTCAAACTAACCATTAAACAAAGACAATATACTAACTTCAACCTGCTGGGCACCTCTTGCCAAGCTTTTTTCCAAGGATATGCAGAAAAAGATGGAAGAAATGGCTTTGTCATTAACTCAGTCAAAGCCTACGACTCGTTTAAAAAATCAAATTTAACTTTTCTTAGATTATGACTAAAACTAAAAAGGAATAAGGTGGCTTGCCATGGTAACTAGCTGGATATAATTTATGACCTTCAGGTCATTTTATTAGCTAATTAATGGACTTGCGGGGAGTGAAAAGTGACCTTCGACGTCAGTTCTGGAAATGCAGAATGTGACCTGATAAAAAAAAAAACTCATTGAGAAACCTAAACATTGACATGTAAAAATTAGCAATTGCCGAATAAAAACGTCCTGTTTTCAACGGGTAACCTATGGCACCTCTTTAAGGTTCCTTTTACCTGTCGCACGGCGTTTTTTGATGTATGCATTGAGAGCCAGCACGAAAATGACAGCAGCCACAGGTCCGCCAATATAGTACCACTCCAGTGAACTGCTGGAAGGAGCTGCTGGGGCTGGCGCATGCCATGTAGGAAGCAATTTAGTTTATTAACAAAGGCAACCAGTGTCGTTAGTTCTCGGGGTATAAAGTTAAAGGGGTAGAATTATTTATCTATTTGTCTTGGCAGAATGAGGCAGATAAATGATAAGAAGAAAAGAAGGAAGAAGTATAATGTTTTGTCCATTGATGGAAGGAGAGAGAGATGGGTTGGTGATAACAAACATCCAATACAGTACAATAGGAAATGACTTGAAAATACACTGTGACCTAAACTCTGACCAGCGAGTCTCCTTCGTGCCATTATGTTTACCATTGAATCAGCAGATCTACTGCCAGCTTGGTTGAACGGCTCACATGAATATTTACCGCTATCACCAGGCTCAGTATCTGATATGGTGATATTGCTCGTAATTTCCCTTTTTCGATTTTGACTGTTGCGTTTTCAATGTTTGTGGCACCATCTTTTTTTCCAGTTTACATTCTTTTCTTTTTGGAATAGGCAAGTCAATTTTAGTTTCCCTCCTTCCAATATGGAAGGTAGCTCTTTTGGAAATATTTTGACAGTGGGTAGTTCTGTGAGGACAAATATGATACACCTCCAAAGACTATGACATGCACCGAAAGACATATTAATTTTTTTTTGGACCTCAGAGTTACCCCTAGAAGGGGTAACTCTGATGTCCAAAAAATATGCCGATTCTTTTTTAAAGGTATTTTATTAAATTATTTATCTATTTTTTTGGTGAGACTGCTTTTAAAGTGGTTAAAAACTCCGTGTAAATGTAAATTGGAAAAGTACCCGAAATACAAAAAATATCATCATAACAAATGATGTAGTCATTTCCACGTATGAGATGCTGCTATTTTTTCCAACTTCGTTTTGATTTGATGATTTTAGTTTCAAGAAGATGAAAGAGAAAACAACAACAACAACAGTGGAAAAGTTTACAAACATAAAAAAGGTTTTAGTTTACAGCAATGGCCTTGCAGTCACACTGGTTTACCTTCTACGTCCAATGTCACAGAAGAGCGAGCC